TGCTGAAATAATTCCTTTTATTTAGTCTCATACTAAAACATTAAGATATAAACAAATAAAATGAAAAAGTATAAATGAATTAAATAAAGTAACATTATTGTTACAATAAAAGAAAATATGTTTTCATGCATGGCATATTGATTGAATCTGTTAGATAATAAAGAAAATTTTGATAAACTGAACTGTAGTATATTATAGAATCCAATTAATTTGGCACAATAGTCTCTCACCCATGCATCATCCACAATGACATGTGCAAAGCTTGTCAGAAATTTTCTTGACTACACATCCTTCCTGCTCTCAAAAATTATCTTCAGTCTAATTGTTAGGTCTGGACAGCATCCTTAACTAATTCTAACTTCAATTTTCATAAATTCTAATATATAATACAAACAAAATAAATACAATTTTTTTTATTGTTATATATAAGCTGCTGTTACTGCTTAAAAATATAATATATTTTTACTTACTGTAAACGTAAAACAGTGTTATTTAATTATTTAGGTTTTCAAATGCGCATTACTGGGAGTGAGAAGGGATATTCAAAATACTTTAAATTTATGTTATGTAATTTATACATAATTAGCATTACACCTTAGAGCAGTCAATATGTGAAGCTAAGTGATGATATGATATTATCTTAAAAGATGTGTAATATCAGAAGTAACAAAAATAGTATCTTGTTTCATTTCACAAAGATTTTCATCGCAGTTCAGTTTTGTTCTGGAAAAAAATACATAGCTTTAAAATAAAAAGCATTTACTTTGCATATATATAATTATAACATGTATTTACCAGATGTGAAATCATAGCTTAAGCAACCAATTTAACCATAACCAAAACTCAACATTTTTTCTTTAGCAAAGATGGAAGCTTAAGTTAAAAGAAAATCTTAAAATTATTGCCTTATTTTGAATTCAAATGTAATATCTTGTTTTTACAAAAATGGGGACATAAATATTTCAAAATATTTTCTAGAATTGTAAGAGAAGGAAATGACAGACTGACTGACACTTCATCTAAAATTATTGAAGTTAGAACAGTGAATTTGACAGTATAAGTTACTGACATTAATGCTATTGGTAGAGGCATGAAACTATAAATCACAGCACAAAATATTTATGTGATTCTTTAAGATCTTTACTGATACTCATGTCAATTATGTTCTTATTTTAATTTAAATATACTTTCAAGAATTTCCAACAATATAAACCTGCAGGGCAAGTCCATTGTAGTATAAACAATATGAACTGAGTTCATAGTTCTATTACTGAATCATAAGATTCAATATTCTTTTTGACTCTGTCACAAAAAGGGCTGGAAGTGAATTTTCTTAATAAAGGAACTGCTCTGGGAAAAGGAATTAAAAAGCAATAGGAAGCAAACCAACTCTATTTATATTGTACAGTTACATTATAGTGACACATTTTTTAATTATGAAATATCTTTCCAATTCAAATAAGGTGATGTCCCACTTTTTAATTCAATAATAAATATTTATACCTTAAAAATGTTTATAATTTGTTGCAAAAAATTATCATAGGAATTAGCCTTCTGAAAAGTGAAAGAAAATCTAAAACAAGCTGGCGTAGGAGATCAAATTCATTCGTTCAGTACTGCTGATCAACAGGCATTCTACAAAATATTTTTTGAATGTTGAATTTTATATTATAGTAATATTGTTAAAACAATATTACTATATTTAAATTTCATTCTTAGTTTTTATAAGTTTTAAAAAAAAACGATAAATAAAAATTTTCACAATTTGAAAACAATGCCTCATTCCTTCATTTGTCAGTTAATAAGGTTTCACTGTAGAAGTAATTAAACAATGTCATCAAATAGCCGGCCTGGATAGCCAAACTCATTAAGGCTGAAGGGCCGTAGCTACTTCATGCCTGAAAGGTTTGAATCTTGCTTAGGGCAAGGATGTTTGGGTGTGTCAATATACAGTACGGAAGTTCCTTAACTGTACCCTATTCCTATATGTATGCGCAGACCGCATTGCAAGAGAGGAAATGCATGGCTGAGGTAATGCAGTGGGAACTTGTAATTTTCACTTCATCAGTGATGGTGCAAGAAATCACATTCTGGGGAGGCCAGCAAAATGATTTCCAGTCACTTTACTTCCACAAAACCATTTATGTATCATGAACATTGACATTATAGTCTTTTTACTTTTATCCATTTGTAACAATCATAATCTTAGAGCAACTTGATCAGATCTTAAAATTTCAAGACTATCTCAAGCTTCTGAAAAGAGAACCTCTAACAAAATATGAAAAATATACTTTTCTACTACTAATTTCACTCACGTGAAAATGAAACCAATAAAAACAGGTTTTAAAAAATAATTTCTGGTTAGTTCATGATGGTAATGATGAAGATGATAATGAAATTATAGTCATTCTAACAAATCATCTATCATCATCTGCAACACCATTAGATTAGGAAAGATTTCCCTGTCCTACTAATGGGTAATGAAGCAAAATTCCTTCATGTGTTGTGTTTGTGCTGGTCCCATATTCTTGTTGGTTTTCCTCTGTCCCTTTTTCCTTCTGATCTATACTTTAAAGCCATCCATGATAGACATTGTTTGTCCATTCTCTTCAAATGTTTCCGTTGTTTCATCTGGTATTCTTTTATTTGTTCTGCTAAGTTTTATGCTTTTATTTTTTTCTAATTTTTTTATTTTGATTTTTGTCTCTTTTTGTTACCCGTAAAACTGACCTTAAAATCTTCATCTGAACTACTTTTATGCTTAAGGTTTCTTTTGCTCTCATTTTTGCACCCTACTTTAACATTGATTTGGATTTCTTGAAAACTATAAGTAAGACTTTTTTTCAATATAGATTGCTAAGCTCTAAAATATTGACAAAGCACAGCTCTTCCATTTAGTTGTGGATGTTGTCAGTACTGTAGAGAACCTTATCAAGTTTTGTGTTGATGCTGATTCAATGATATTATAAAGTCAAGAAAGAAATATTTGGTCTAGCTTCAAAAATGTATTCTTCCATGACCTTAAGAGTGAATTATAATAAATAAATAAATTATTTCTTGATTCTTTTTTATTAAAAATAGACTTGAAATCTAAATTTGCTTAACATACCAAAATATCTACATATCAAGCATGTGAAATCTTATGAACTTACTTTCATTTTAATTTTTTCATATGTGAAGTGTTACAGCTATGATTGTTCTGTCCTTTTTTCCCTCTACACCTAGTCCATGTACTACTGATTCTTATGAATGTTTTAGACCTCTCTAAATTGTATGTTTTCCATAGAACGACATATTGATGTGTAAAAGGACTTATTACTAAATATGGTAGATGCTCTACATTTAAGCATTAATTCAATAACTTGAATTCACTGCATACCTACTATTAAAAATTAATAGGAGGGAAAGAGACCAAAATAGAAACCTTTTCTAACAGTTTAACTATACAACTACATTATTGAAATCATTCTAAAACTTTTGACAATTTGTTGTTCAGCCATGTTGAGAGCCATTTTAATATCATGCTAGCCCGTGAAGAAAACTACAGATGATCCATAAAGTTTGTAAATATTGCATTTTTGAAATCTCGTACTTTGGTAATTCTGAATACAAATTAAATATTGTTCAAATATTTGGAGACATATCATCACATGAATAATCATTTCAATAAATAATTAAAATGACAATCAGAAAAAAATGTTATCTATTTTAATTGATTTATAAAAAAAGTATTATATTTTATTATTGCGCAGTTCGTTGTTTAATTAAATTTGTATGTAGCTTGAATCTAAATCAAGAATGTTTTAATTTTCTCAAAAGTTAGTAGGCCCTTGACCTAAAGCTTTATATAGCTAATTCAAGAATTTATGTAATTTTGAATGATCCTCTGATTATAATAACTAGGGCCCAGATAATTTTGTACTAAGAATTAGGGAAATATGTACTTATATATGTGTTATAATATTGAGAAGTATGTACTCAAAAGTAAGAAATGTGTATCACATTTATCTTACATATTGTTCTGTATACTTAATATAAAGACCAAACTACAGTACACAAATCTGTTATTTACAATGATCTTTGCGATACTCATGCTGAAAAATAACGCACCTGAAGCTGAGGATTTCATCGACACATTGATCTTTTCTTTTGCAGTATTGCCCATATTTCAAGTCTTATTTTAATGCAATGCACTGTTTTAGAGAGGAGATGGCAGAAAAGATGTTTGACACTGCAGAATTGTTAGTCCGGGCATTTACCTTTCAGAAACACATAGGATCAATGAAGATTTACACCAAAAAAATTCAGGAAAATAGAAATACTCAGAAATATGTAAACCTAAGTATTTTTTTTGTAAAATATGTAACTATGTGTATCCTGGGGCAAAATATGTAAATATATATACTAAACACTCAACGTTTTTAGGTACTAACCGATACAAACGTGAATATATAGTTGGTGTTATTAATAACTGACCCGGGGCCATACTTCTTTTACACCGTTTGTCATTTCCTCCTGACAGTGGACGAATCTGGTTTAACTTAAGTGGCATTTTTCGTCGAGGCCAAATTCACGGATTTTTTAATTGAGCGCCATGAAATTTCATTCATGCATATTGTTGTCGATATAAATCGAAACGATATCATGACCGTCAGCTCGAAAATTCTCGAAATGGTTGCAGGAGAATTTAGCGCTGTATGTGTCAAGATGGAGAACTGTCGTGCATTTGTTCGTGTTGGTGTGCTTAGAATCTGGAGAAGCAGCCTCAAGCAGGATGCGGTTCACAGTGGATGTGGATGTGATTTTCTCTGATCGTAGTGCGTACAGTTCTAGTGGTTTTTGTTGTGTACTGGGTGCGTTTGTTGCGAGATTGTCGAGTGCTTAACTAAGAGTGAAAGTGTATGCGTTGTATGTGGCATTGGTGTTTCCTCGCGTAGGACTGACGGCATTTATCAGCTTTATAGTGCTAGAGATTCATCATGGCCGCCCCCTGGAACACAAGAGTACAACACAAGAACATCACGTCAATATTTTCCAAGCTTCAAGGAGCGTTTCAAGATGCCGTTGCTCCCCCGAAATTGGCAACGGATAAAAGAACACTTGACAAGACTTGGAAGTTAATGGATAAAGTGGTCAAGTTGTGTCAGCATCAAAAAATGAACTTGAAGAATTCTCCCCCTTTCATTCTTGATATTTTACCTGACACTTACCAACGCTTGAGACTTATTTATTCAAAATACGAGGACAAAATGATCGTGCTACATAGTAACGAACATTTTAATGTATTTATAGTTAACTTGATGAGAAAATGTAAACAAGCAATCAAACTCTTCAAAGAAGGGAAAGAGAAGATGTTTGATGAAAATTCTCACTATCGAAGAAATCTCACCAAACTCAGCCTAGTTTTTAGTCATATGTTGAGTGAACTTAAGGCAATTTTTCCTAATGGAACATTTGCAGGTGATCAATTTCGAATTACAAAGAGTGATGCAGCTGAATTTTGGAAGAACAACTTTGGAAACAGGTATGTAAAGCCACATTTTGTATTTATCGTATTCAATACATAGCAATTTCTACTGAGACTCATTAGTTGTTTGTGTCAAGTATGTGCTTCTCTCTTGAGCACCAAGTGTTACATACAAAATGGATCATGGCAATTTTCCATATTGAAATCAATTGACATGATATTTATTGTTTGACATTTTGCAGAATCGTTCAGTTGTAGAATTATTATGAAACTTGTCATATTGATTCAATAGAATGTTGAAATGTTTGGGCCAAGAGCTCTTTCAGGTTATTTAATATTAGGAAATTACTATTTCGACACAACATCCTGAACATGTGGGTGCAAAGTAATTGCTGGCCTTGCAGGAATGAGGAAGAAAGGAAGGGGCATAAGTATTATTTTTAGTTAAGTGACCAGCAGTGACAGGTGTAGTTGTGAAAGATGAGCCAGAAAGATGGAATGAAAGTTAATGATATATTTTTGCAAGAAAACATTTTTATTTTTGTTTTACTTGTGTTCTTACTTATTCTTCTTATGACATACAAATCTGATGTCTGTAAATAAGTTCATTTGAGGAGCTCTGTTTTTTTCATACATTCATAAGCTAATTTTGCTAGTTGAACAGATTGTTATTTTATGTCACACAACTTTCCAAAGATAATGTTGTACTTCTCTTGAAATTCTTGCTTGAATCCAAATTTATTGGATCCAATTTTACTGGCCATTCTGCCAACATACTTGTGTGTGAAAGTGGGAACATATTGGAGCAGGAACAATATAATTATTGCACTGATTTGTTTGAAGTTAAAAAAGTAGGTTTTATATCAGGATTGATAGTAAGAAATGAATCTCTCTCTGCACTGTTGCAAAATGAGATTAAAGGTCATAACAGTTCATGTTCAGAAAAGAAATGACAATGTTTTCAAAGTTGCTGAATACTTGAAGAGAAGTATTGAAAATATTGATCGTAGACATTTGGATTGAAGTATTTTAGCTTACTTGATTAGTAAAACTGTTAAGTTAGTAAAAATTATTTTTGTTAATGTGAATACAGCTGTTGTGCAAAGCGACAAAACCCTTTTGTTTTGATTCCTGCTTTGATGCATATTTGGAGTATGTCGTTACAAATCCAAAAATTTGTCTTTTTTGTGCTGTTAATAATCAACTTCCGTTCAGATTATAAAGCATTTTGAAATAGAATCATAAACGTATAGATCTTAATGTATATAAACATTACAAAAAAAATGTTAAACAGTTAATGACTGTAGCTTTCAGATTTTTATTGCGGCATTAAAATTTAAAAACATTGGTCAAAAATACAAAAATTACAAAGAGCTCCATTTCAAAAACACATTATTCTGAAGCTTTATGAACAAGTGTATTAAATATATATTAGAAACTAGAAGTAAATGTAATTTTTATCATGCAACAGAATCCAGAATACAATTTTCCTGATATGCATGCACAAAAAATCCTCGAGATGGTTTAGGGTCTTCTGAAGCATTTGAAATAATTACAGCTTTTAAAAAAAACAACTTTTTTGCTATTATGATCCAAAATGTGTACTTGCCCAGCAGTAACCCTTCTATACTAGGCTCCTTTCAGCCAGGTCAGTTAAGTGTCATGGTTATACGGTAAAAGTTTTTGTGCAACTTTATTATCATTAACCAGGTTTATTCAAAAGTGTTGGGTAGTGCAAATAATCAAATTTTTTGAGTATGTACGTACTGGGCATTTTCAGAAAGAAATGCGTTAACTTGAACAACACTGTTGCCTATTAAAAATTGATCACTGGAACACCTAAATGAAAGGTATCTCCTGGTTGTTTCCTTATCTTGTAGGTTTTAAGGTGTTGATATAATGTTGTTGTTTTTTTGTTTGTTTTTTTAATATGATGGTTTGCCTTTCTAACTTTATTCTTGTTAATGTCCAGAAACTTCTCATTAAAAGTCCATTTCACAAGATATTTTTTTCTCTACATAGTTCTTAAAAGTTTCCTTGAACTACCTGTGGTTTAAAGTTTTCAACATTTTTGCAAACATTTGTGCTTTAGTGTATACTTTTTACAGCTTTTAATTTTCGTTTAATCATTCAGCAAACCTTTCTGGACTCAATCATTTCCAAATCGTGTTGTTATAGGACAACTCTTTATTCGACTTGTTTCCTAACACCTCCCAGCCTCCTTAACATTGTTGCTCCTTACGTAACCGTTACGAAGGGCGAGAAAGAATGTGATGTTATAGCTCCTAGTTTCTTTGGATTAATCTTTAGAGGCTGAAAATATGTGGTGATCGAGAGCAACTGACTAGGAAATAACTCGTCTTTGATCGTCTTCAATTCGTCGTTACGTTTCGTAGTATTGCTTACGTTTTCAACCCTCCATCGTTATATGGATATGCTGAACTACACACATTCACTCTCTCTTTGAGCGTACCCAGATAGTCGCTGGAAGATAAAGAGTACCCAGACGTGCTCTCCCGTTTAACGCGGATCAGAAATTCACAATTAAAACCAAATATAATGTATTTGTACTAAGAGATTCATTTGTAACACGGTCTCCTTTATTTAAATACAGTTGTCAGTATTCAGTCCTTGAGGGTTTTTGGTGTCATCGTCGTGATAAACTACTGAGCCAATTTGGCGGACGCTTCTTTCATTTTGACAATCATCTCTCCAATCACATAATAATAATAATAATAATAATAATAATAATAATAATAATAATAATAATAAAATCGCATAGTGTTCATCATCCATATAATAATTATACACTTTGATTTTTCTCTCGTGGCCGATGAGATTAGGTCATTGTTACACCTGCCTTATAAATGAATCTTTGTAAGAGTAGTAAGCACATTTGAGGCCGGGAGCCTCCGTGAGAAAGACGTTTGCGAAATAATTAAAAATATTCATTATGTAACTAGGTGGTGTAACAATGTCCTGTCATTGGTCAGTATAAAAAAAATCGAAGTATAACTAAATCACCATTGGTGTAGAGGAACGCGCGACTGCGACATGCAGAGACTAGTTGACATAACATTTGTATACATTAATGTTATATTACGCATAAAACATATTTATGGTTTTACTTCTTTAAAAAAATAATGCTCTATTTCTGCTTGTCCAGCAGACTCATGAAGGAGAAATAAATTAAAAAAAACTAGAAGTCATTAAAATAATTTTATTTCTTTCGAAAACCATGTTATAGATTGTATAAAAATATCCACTGATAAATCTCACCTCAATCTTTTTTAGCGTATTAAAATCTGGAAGGTATCTTGCTTGGTAACTTAAGGTCAGTTTCATCTTCATCTTCGCAGGTGTCAGGCAGAACTCGTCTGTACAGTCACGGCAAAATGTGTGTTACTTCCGGAGTGTCAGTTGTATTATATTGGAGTATATTATGCTTAATCCTTTACAACTGAAACCATACGAATAACACTTAAAAAATCGAGTTGAAGCCAATTTCTAGGACACTGATCTCTGAGAACAGGGAACTCGCAGGAGATGCAGTCATAAAAGCGGGACCAAACCCAGGAAAAAATGTCTTGTCACGTTAAAAAAATGTGTATTTGGCTGGTAGGGAGATTTTACTCGAACGGAAAAAAAGGAAGAATGAAGTATGTTAACGTACGTTTGATGCAGCGAGAAGAAGTAGGAGTACAAAAATACCCATGAGAAATGGCGTGTGTATTTATCTTTCAGTAGACCTTTTAAAATTCTACGTGCAGTTGTCTGTGCATCATGGACAAAACAGAGATGTCAATTAGCCGATAATGATTCGCTTTACTGTTACAGAATTGTGATGAATAAAACTATTATATTATGTTCCTTCAATTTATTTTTTTAAAACATAAACATTTTCTAGCCATGCTCCAGTAACACTCCAATTTAAGGCAGAGGAGTCTGAAAAACGGTGGGAAAATGCAGAGGTGGGGGGAATCGGAGAAAATGAATACAGGCGACCGGCGGACATAACTGGGAGTATACTGTAATCAGTCATATGTTTGTGTATGGTACTGTATGTACCAAATAATTCCACATCATTATTCGTTGAATTTTGAAGAGGAGATGGGAGAGTATCGGTCGATCTTCATTCACGCGGGATTGCCTTGGCGCTGTTTCTCGTTACCAAAGGCTGTCGACGCTCTCGCGCGTCACGTCTACTCAGGCGGGGTATTGTGGTGCCCGGGCACGCTCGCGATGCGTGACGAGGTTTACGCGACTCGAGTTACATAGTGGGTATATCCCGAGTTTAGGTTGGCACTTTGGTTCATTGATTCGGTTCACTATTTCTCGCGATTCACAAAATTATAGTTGCGCGGTTCACTTCAATCACTAGAGAATAATGTTGTCGGCATTGATTCATACTGTTTGGCCCCGCCGCGTTGTAATGCAAATTTAGTTTCAAAGGCAAGTTTTCTCGCTTCGCTCGCCCGGATCCGAGTCACGGCGAGGCTCGGGCCTTCAGCCCTAGCGTTCACTATAAACATCCTAAAGTCTATCCAACGCATAATTACCAATTCACTTGTATAAGAAAGCACTTTTCAAGACAGCCTCCACAATTCAAACTGCGCAGTTGCCGCCGGAGCGGCGTGAAGTGCCAGCAAAATTATTATTCTTGTGAATCACGAGAAACAGTGAACCATAGGAACCGGTGCCACCCTAAACTCCGGATCAACCAAATAGTGTCCCGGAGGCGCCCCTACGCGCCCGGGTTTGCTCGACTGGCTGAGAGTGCCTCTGACTGGGAGATTCTAGGGTTCGAATCTCCGCGGTACCGGAACAGCCGGGTCGATTTCAGCTGCAGTCTGGGGGAGAATTCTAGGGGACCGGCTGCTCCGATCGGTAGATTTTTCGTGGTTTCTCCGATCAACACCAGGCGAATGCCGCAGCAGTAACCCTACAAACGGGCCACGGACAGCCCTCTTTCCTTCCTCTTCTTTGCCGTATCTTCTTACAGTCTACCTCTTAATGCAAAACTCTATCTCGCATGTCGGGAGATTATTCGGCAACTT